GTACACATTCGGGACCTTACCGTCTGTCCCCCCTTTGAAAGCCAGTGCAGACATAGACCTCATGCCCCGGGTTTGATCTCTTTGATTTATTCTTCCATTATATCTTATAGAACCCCTCCGGTTCGTTCTTACCATCAGCGTTGGCAGTCTGAATTAGGGGGGACCCTGGATCAACAGGACTGGCAGAACATGACCCAAGCAATCTCTAAATGTTCTAGGAATGTCATTATCCTTGAGAATGCCTACAAAATTCTATACCGATGGTATTATACGCCTGCTCGCCTAGCTAGTTTTATCCCTACATATTCCCCAGTCTGTTTTCGGGGTTGCCAACAATTGGGCACCATGGCCCACATATGGTGGACTTGCCCTAAACTAAGTAGATTATGGATTAGGGTGTACGCCCTTCTCCGCACTATCCTTCACACAGACATCAAGCGTAATCCGTATGAAGCACTTTTATTTAAACCATTGGAGGGTCTTCTCCATACTGAACGGCAGCTGGCATCACACTTATTTATGGCAACTAAATTGACAATTGCAAGGGCTTGGAAGACTCCTGTCCTTAGTTTTGAGGCTGTCAAAAACCGGATGAATTTCATCATGGTTAATGAAAAATTGACAGCCATATTGTTAGATACCCATACAAAATTTTTGCAGATATGGCGCCCCTGGTTGGATGTAGCTCAACCCTCGAGATTCGACCAATCTCTCCTGTCGATATGAGGTTGGATTTTGCCGTGATCCCCTTGGAGCCCCAACTTCCCCCCCTTTCCCCCTTTTTTTTTTTTTGTTTTGTTGTTGTTTGTTTGTGATGTCCGTGTCTCTCTATTGTATGTCTTTTCCTTCCTGCTGTTCAATTTGTCCTTAAATATATTTCACAGATTGTGCTTGTTGTTTTCTGCGCTACATCCGCAATACTTTCTCTAGGTTATGAACATGAATAATTTTTTGGAGAGGCCTCTTCTTGGGCCTCTCATGTTTTCTATATTGTTGATGTAGCTAAAACTCTCTCTGGAGTTTACATTATCATGGACCCACAAAGGTTTGTTAATCATTCCCTTATAACCCCTTCCTTCACCTATTCCTACAAGGCTTTATGTTAACTCTTTAGCTTATGTCTTTATTGATGCGTGCCTTGAATAAGTTCCTCGTCATTTAATATGATCCATAATTGTTGGTCCTTGAATTTATGCTCCGAATGTCTGTTTATTTTTTGCTTACTATTCAATAAAGCTCTTTGTAAAAGAAAAATATAGTATATATACAGTAGCTCCACAGCAAAGGTAATGCAAATAATTTTACAAACTGTCCCCTATGTGCATCTCAGAATTGTTTAAAACATTTTTATTTAAAATGTATAGCTTTTGTAGTTCCCTTGCTTTGTATTTAACTGAACATCAGATGAATGTTACATTATTTTGCCTAAAACTTGACTGGAACTTGTACATTACCTGGCCTGTTAGAATGACCAAATTTAGCGGAGCATTCCTTAAATGGTTCACCACCACTTGTAAGATACATCTTAGCATCCTCTACCAAAACTAGTAAGTTTTATGTTGCAGCTGATGTCTGAAAATTTGAAATGACCCATAAGAAAAAGAGCAGTCATTTATAATTGTGCAGTTTTTAACAACATTTGAAGCATTTATGTGAGGAGGCTGATAAGGAAACCCCAATAAAAATATTGTATACTACAATTATTATTTTTACTACAATTTTATTCATTGCATAATTTATATATATACTGTAGACTCCACACTATCCCACTCTTCATAAATATGCATGGGGAGCAACTGTTCAGTTTGATGGAGCCATAACACTGTGTATAACTTTAAAGCCCATTGCTGTGATAGGATAGCTGAGATGTTTTCTGATTGTTGTCTTTCTAGCTGGTCGTTGTGGTTTACTCCTACTCTTTCCTTGAGTTATATGTCTGTGTAGCACTTGGCTTTGGCTCCTCTCCCAACATATTACCCCTCCACGTGGGTGCATGAGTGCTGTGTGGGCCCCTGAGTGTTCGTCCTCCACAGTGGGTTTCTACTAAGTTCTACTAATTAAGAATTAATTAATTAAGAACTAATTGAGAATTCACATCACATAGAGCAACTGTCTTAAAGATTCACCTTAACGTCTTTGGAAGACTTTAATTTGTTATATATTATGAGAGAGTACTGGATGTGTAATGCTGTCTGTTATTACATATGCTACGTACTGTGGGATGCAATAACTTTCTTTCTTTATTGCTTTTAATATTTATACATAAAAAAATTGGTGATTTTATACTTTGTGTGTTGTCCATTCATGAAAACATCAATTTTTGCATCCTAAAAGTCCCGTAGTTTTGTCATGACATTTTTTCACTCTTCATAAATATCTCCATTCAGAGTCTGAGCACCTGAAATGTATGCTCCAGGCAGATGTCCCAGGCCTATGTTCAATAAGCCCATTTTGATGGTGTATTATTATAACATTATAATGATGTATTAGCCATAGAACAGTGGATGACAACTTGCATGATTTGAGGGGACTCAACTGTGACCCCTGACAAAGGGCCAGAAGATCAGAGACTGCAGACATGCAACAGGGCGACTGAAGACTGAAATCCCAATGTAGGAGATAGAGATTTGGGCCATACTACATACAACTTGTCATTATAGCCTCTTTACAAATGATGCTTCCATTACTGACTGCTGGGGTCTGCAAAGGGCTGCACGGCAAGTAACAAAGGGCCATATGTGGGCTCTGGGCCACACGTTGGGTACCAGGGCCATAAAGGAAGCACAATTCAACTCTGTAGTGACCCCTCACATTGTATTAAAGCTGAATTAAAAAAGTGCAGGATGTGTGAGGGCCAGGGGAGAGGGAGGTGGGATTGGTTGGCGATTACTTTTTGCCATAAGATGGGCTTTAATGTCAGTTCTATAGAGGTACAATGGAAGCAAGAACAGTATCCAAATTTTGACAAAATTGAGTTTTATAGAATATATATTTAGCTCATTACATGAAAATAAGGTTAATAATATAACTTAGATGACAAAATCTTCTGTTTTACTCAAATTAGTTGTTAAAAAATGAATACACCCCACAACAAAAACTACTCCATCTAGTATTTTGTATGACCTCCATGATTTGTAAGGACAGCACCAAATCTTCTAGGCATGGAATGTTCAAGTTGGTGACATATCTCCACAATTATTTTTTTTCATTCTTCAAGAACAACCTCTTTTGGAGCCTGGATGCTGGATGGAGAGCGATGCTCAACTTGTCTCTTCAGAATTCCCCATAGGTGTTTGATTGGGTTCTGGTAAGGAGACATACTTGGCCACTGAATCACTATCACTCTTTTCTTCTTCAGAAATGCAACAGTGGCCTTAGATGTGTGTTTTGGATCATTGTCATGTTGGAAAAGTGCATGGCGACCAAGGGCACGGAGTGATGGTAGTATCTTCTCTTTCAATATCGAGCAGTACATTTGGGAATTCATGATACCATCAATGAATGTAGCTCCCCGACACCAGCAGCACTCATGCAGTCCCACAGAAGGACACTGCCACTACAATGTTTCACTGTAGGCGCCATGCATTTTTCTTTGTACTCCTCACCTTTGTGATGCCATACAGTTTTGAATCCATCAGTTTCAAAATAATTTATCTTGGTCTCATCACCCCAGATTACAGCCCTAGTAGTCTTCTTCTTTTTCAGCATGGGCCCTAGCAAATTCTAGGTTGGCTTTTTTGTGCATGGGCTTTAGGAGAGGCTTCCTTCATGGACGATACCCATGCATGCCATTCCTCTGCAGTGTATGCCATATTAGGTCACGGTAAATGATCACCCCAGTTTGGCTTGCTACTTCTTTAGCTAACTGCAGTGAACTTGCATGGCGATTTTCTTCAACCCTTCTCATCAGAAGATGCTCCTGTCGAGGTCTTAACTTCTGTGGATGGCCAGGACGTCTCTATGAGATGGTTGCAGTTCCATCTTTGTTCAATTTTTGAATCAATTTTGCTATAGTATTCTGACTGATAAGTAAATCTTTTCTGATCTTCTTGTAGCCTTCACCTTTCTTGTGTAAAGGAATGATTTTCTTCCTCAGGCCTTGTGACATTTCTCTTCCATGTGGTTCCATTGCTGACAGCATGAAATGAGAAGGGGTTTTCTTTGTTAGGTAATGCCCTTTTATAATCAACTGTCTGCCGGACACCTGTTTACTGAGTTCTTGTTAATTAGGATTTTGTTGTCTAAAATTTAAAATGTAGATTTTGAAAGGAACGTAAAGGTTTTCTGACAAATTTGTTGGGCTGTACTCATTTATGCTGAGCACTGTATATACACTATATTGCCAAAAGTATTGGGATGCCTGTCTTTTCACGCCCATGAACTTTAATGGCATCCCAGTCTTAGTCCATAGGGTTCAATATTATGTTTGCCCACCCTTTGCACCTATAACAGCTTCAACTTTTCTGGGAAGATTGTCCACAAGGTTTAGGAGTGTGTCTATGGGAATGTTTGACCATTCTTCTAGAAGCACATTTGTGAGGTCAGGCACTGATGTCGGACGAGAAGGCCTGGCTTGTAGTCTCTGCTCTAATTCATCCCAAAGGTGTTCTATTGCTTTGAGGTCAGGACTCTGTGCAGGCCAGTCAAGTTCATCCACCCCAAAGCTCATCCATGTCTTTACGGATCTTGCTTTGTGCACTGGTGTGCAGGCATGTTGGAACAGGAAGGGGCCATCCCCAAACTGTTCCCACAAAGCTGGGAGCATGAAATTGTCCAAAATGTCTTGGTATGCTGACACCTTAAGAGTTCCCTTCACTGGAACTAAGGGGACAAGCCGAACCCCTGTAAACAACCCCACACCATAATCTCCCCTCCACCAAACTTTACATTTGGCACAATGCAGTCAAGCAAGTACTGTTCTCCTGGCAACCGCCTAACCCAGACATGTCCATTGGATTGCCAGATTGATTCATCACTCCAGAGAACATGTCTCCACTGCTCTAGAGTCCAGTGGTTGTGTGCTTTAGACCACTGCATTCGAATCTTTGCCCTGCACTTGGTGATGTAAGGCTTGGATGCAGCTGCTCGACCATGGAAACCCATTCCATGAAGCTCTCTGCACACTGTTGCTGTGTTAATCTGCAGGAAGTATGGAGGTCTTTAGCTATTGACTCTGCAAACAGTTGGAGACTTCTGCGCACTGTGCGCATCAGCATGCGCTGATCCCATTTTACATGGCCTACCACTTTGTGGCTGAGTCGCTGTTGTTCCCAGTTGCTTCCACTTTGTTATAATACCACTAACAGTTGACCGTGGAATATTTAGTAGCAAGGAAATTTCACAGATGGACTTATTGTACATGTGGCAGCCTATCACGGTACCACACTTGAGTGCACTGAGCACCTGAAAGCGACCCATTCTTTCACAAATGTTTGTAGAAGCAGTCTGCATGCCTAGGTGCTTGATTCTATACACCTGTGGCCATGGAGGTGATTGGAACACCTGAATACAATGATTTGGAGTGGTGTCTCAATACCTTTGGCAATATAGTGTATATATAGAGTGAGGCCCTTCTACTGTGTAAAAGAAGGCAAAGGGGGCATAGGATTAGTATGAATGCAGAGTGAGGGGCTCCAGAATAAAGCTTTCAAGTGGAGAAAACTGCAGTTGTTTCTGGGTTTTGATATTCTGGAGTTTGGAAGCAGAGTTTAGGAGAGACACACTGAGAAAACCCTATGACCACTGGGTTAGATTCCCCCATATCACAATATATAAAGGTAATCTGACATACAGTATATGAAGCACAGTATTAGAAAAGCGCAGAAAATTGCATATAGACAGAAGCTCTGCATACTGCTGTGTATGGACACTGGAGATAATTATTTCAAATAGCTACATGCAGTGTTTTAATTATTACACTGTAACATTAATAAAAATGCTGACAGGCTCAGTAAAAATGTTATTTCAATTAGTAATTTGCTGCAATTGTATTCACACTTTTTTTTTATTGGTCACAGATTCGATTTTAAAGTTTTTTAGACACATATGGATAGTAGCAAAAACCACCATACTGCTAAATTATAGCTTTTATATACTGTATAAGCACACATACACTAGAATAATGGATAAGGTGCATTAGTATTTACCGTCTGGAGGTTGACAGAGTATATACTATAAGGCTATATTACAAATACAAGGCAATGAAACTGGGATGTCTGCTGCACAATGACAGCATTTTATTTGAAGCATCTTGCATCTCAGTGAAACAAATTGCAAAAAAAGATGTTTGATACACCGTCTCTTAATTTAATGAGGAAAATTAATTCTTCCCCTTTTTTGAGACTCATCCAGCTAACCATGACCCAAACCCTTCTACATGCCCTGATCGGGTAAACAGCCAAGTAGCTATCCAGCCAGAGCTAAGTCATTGCTGCAGGGATTATCCAGTACATCAGCAGCTGTACAGTTCGGTGCAATGATGAGTGCATTCGTTTTACTGCCCGGAGTCTATTCTCCACAGATCTGCAGATCTACATGCAAAGCATTCAAAAAAGATATAAATGACATTCCATGATAAGATCATTCCTAGTTAGGAGTTAATTGATCATTCTGCTGTATTAAAGTATAATATTCCCATATCAAAGATATAATTAAGCCCACTTTAATTACAAAAAAATAAACCTAATTTACCAGTGATAAAATATACAGCACATTCTGAAAGACAGTAAAACGTCCTATATTACCATGATTGGCAGAAGTGAAACAGACAGCTTAATGTATTCAAAAAAATATCACATATTAAATTACATAAGTAGAGTCTATCTATTAAAATCCCCTCTAATTCCTTTCTAAATTGTATTACACCCCTCAGGCAGCTAACTTCCTTCTAGTATTGCCTGCTGTGATAAATGGCCCAAAGGGGAACCTGATAGCTTATTCTGTTAAACGTGTTGACGGAAGAAGCTAAAAAACTTTCCCTTACTCAGTACTGACTGGCAAGTGATTCAGCACTCTGTCAGATGGCAATAATAGGTATAGCTTTACATGCCGGAGAAAACAAATGGTACAAATCAAAACACACATCTGACTTTCATCAAAAAGCTCAATGTGGTCATACACATAAATGTCAGGTGTGCTATGACAAGCTACTGCTCCAAGATTTGGTGTTATGATAGGCTATGGCAGCTTTACAGCATATCCTATATAAAGCTAGGAAGCCTCTGGGATCTTGCTGTTAAGAAAACACCCAAAACTCGAGTAAACCCAGCTGACAAGAAAAACCAAGCTCAATACAGCACTCATGTAATGCTTTGCTGGAAATACGCAGGCAAATGTTTACATTGAAAAGGACACACGGACGCCCAGGAAATAAATATAATCCTGCTCTATTTTATTTGACAATCCAAACAGAAGTGCCATTCAACACATACAGTAATAAAATAATAATGAAACACACAAATTGCTGAGGTTGAACTTCTTTGGTCAAATATATAATTTTAGGTGGGTATATGGGCTAAAAAGTGATACTACATGTTTCCATTAAGACCTCTTAATTTGGAATACAGTAAAACATATATCCATATTCAATACCTGTTTCACATTTGGATATAGTAGAAATGGAATAAAACCTTTGTAATTTGTTTTCTGTATCTCTTTTTGGATTTTCCTTCACTTTCTTGTCCCGTAAAGTAGAACTGTTTCCAAAGATTGGGAAATTCCCCACTTAGACAGTTGTCAGTAGAACAGGTGTCCCCACTGGAAATTTTTCCTGTGTTCCTGTTTTGGTAACAGCTGTAAAATATTGGATTTCACAGAATGCACTCCTGCAAAGTAGAAGAATACATTTGGGAAGCAGCGGTCTGATGTAAGAATCTTGTACTTATTTCGTCTGATGTTTTTCTCTTTTGAGGTTTGATGCAGGGATTTTAAAAGGGGGTTAAGGGGCTATATATGGGTTGGTTCTTATTTTTACTGAAATCACCACTTTGAAATGACCCTCAGGCTTTAATATTGTTTACATCAAGTTTGAAGATAAGAACTTTCAATTTTTCTCTGGCTTTCCTGGACTGAATACTTGTACCAAGCCAATGACTCAGAAAGTACTGACTCAATTAGCTCAGCATAATAGCAAGGTTAGCAATGGCAGCTCTCATACTTCTTTCAGGAAAGAACAAAAGTAGATTTTGGTCCATGGGTCAATTTATATTCTTGTCATAAAAAACTTGAATACATTAAAGTGGTTGTAAAAACTCTATGCATGAAGGTAAAAAACCTTCTATGTGCAGCAGCCCCCCCCCCCCCCCAGCCCCCTAATACTTACCTGAGCCTCCTTGCAATCCATCGATGTGCAGAAGAGCCTCGGCTCTCTGGGAACTTTCACTACTTTTTGCTTAGACAGCAGTGAGCCAATGAAAAGAGAGAGAGTCGGGGCTGAGCTGTGGCTCTCTGTGTGCATGGACAGACAGCACAGTGACTCAGGAGCGAGCCTGCTTAGGTGCCCCCAGAGAAAGCTGCTTGCTCTGGGGCACTCAGCAGGAGGTAGGGGCCAGGAGGACCGGTGGGGGGCCCAAAAAGAGAAGCAGCAAGACTGCTAAAACCACTGCACAGAGCAGCTAAGTGTAACATGTTTTTTTTTTTTTTTTTAAACTGCCTTTAATATCACTTTAAAGAGCATCTCCTGGGAAGGGGGAAGGGGGGTTGTTGAACTAAGTTACAGCGCCTAACTACAACATCTTGCATCAAAGATAATTTTCTGAATATTCTTGCAATCATGCACCTTGGACAATTTCACTGACCTGCTTAAACAGCCATCAGTGCTTTAGATGCCACTTTCTCAAAAGGCTTTGCTAATTGGAAGTTAGAACAGGCAATGATGGTGGACAGCCCAAGCGCATGGATATGAAGGAAGGGGGCACAACTTGCAAATTGCTTTGGTTTCACAGAAAATTGCTACATGTCCTCAAACATTTAACCTCTTGGCGCCGGCTGAACGCAACTGTGCGGCCTCCCAGCATCTGGGCCCTGCGCGCTCCCAGCACACATGTTCGGTACTCATAGAAAGGTCCCGATCTCCTCTTTCGATCAGGACCTTTCCCGGTCATGTGACTGCCGTGACAGCGAATGACAGCGGTCACATGACCCTAAAACCTTGCCTTGCCTCCCGGCTTCTGGAACCCTTAAAGGGCCAGGAGGTGCTGGCACCAAGGGGTTAAAGTGGTATTAAACCAAAAATACAAATTAAATATATTGCAGCTTTCCAATCATTAGATGTGGTGACAGCATTAGTTTACTTTTTTCGGCTCTATTTTCACCTGGTTATCTGGCCAGTAACACACCTTCTGTATTAGAGTGCACCCACGCTGGATGAATGAGCAAAAGGACACCTTTGTAGAGCAACATTGTCGGTCTGGGAGAAGGGAAGAGTTAGATGTACTAGCAGATTTAGACTACTACACTAACAACCTGAAGCAAAGTTCCAGCTATCACTTTAACTGTATCATATTCTTTCCTTTTGGGATAAAGGTGTTACATAAATAAATGAAAGCTGATCATTTTATGCACCCCTGTCAGTAGGAAATGGATTGTCTCATCCCTGTAACTGATAAATCTGAGACAGAGATTGTAATGCAGCCATCACATCTAAGAATTGGCAAGCTGCAAAATAATAATATAAATGTTTGCTTTTGGGCTTTATACAGGTTTACAGTTTACCTGTACACACCTGCAGCAGCCTTCTAACACCTACTGTCATGACTAAGCCCCTGAAAACACTCCTATTCGCCCATCACTATGAAGAGTAGTTTAACAAGCCAATAGGGATATGCAGGAGACAGGTAGAGGCAGGCGAGCTTTGGCATTACAGGTGCATGCACTTATATCACAGCAGTTTTTGTTTTGTTCCCCATGACAGAGTCTTTTTTATAGTATATATGTCTTTGATACTGTATCACCATGTCAAAAATGCAGAGACTTCAACCATTAACTTAGAGAGGGTGCCACTGTTTTGGTCTAAGCTTACATCCAAGAATTGTGGAATAAATATGTAGTTCTTCAACAAACATTGATCAAGAAAATAACTTATATTTATTGACTGGTCAAAGAATGTGAAGGGTAGCAAGCTTAAGGCTTTTTTGAAAGACCTGTTATTCAATATAGCAGGAAAGCTTCTCAAATGCCTCTACAATATAGAGAAACCCCATAATCCTTCCTAAATTTGCATGGCCTAGAGGTCTTCCACAAACTATTATAGTAAAACTACTAAATTTCCCCATTGCTAAAACCATCCCTCTTGAGTGGCAACTGAATCTCACCCCCACCCCCTATGCCTGTGTGGTGAAAACTAAACCCATTCTGGATTTCTACACTGTAACAGAATCAAGTTTTTAGCATCAATTTTTTAATGATAACTCTACTTTTGTGAAAAAATATTGGTAATAAAAAAAACGGTATAT